CTTCATTTTCACCTAAGTGTGGTGGCATAATTCAAGCTCAATAAATCAGAAATCTTAATATTTAAAATTTACCTTGACTTCCAATCATCATCATCATATGAACAACCCAAAACAGATAAACGCATAGAAAAGGATACTATTAAACCACTTTGCTGGAGTTGGTTTCTTGACATATGAACTCATTTTTATAGAAAGGGCTAGTGGATCTCAGTTTGCTTACAAGCTAGGAGATCACTTTGAATTCTGCATTTCCTAACTGCAAACAGAATATAGCACTTATAATAGGTTATAAATAACCTGGTTTTCAAGCATAGAGCCAGCCCCAAGGATAACAATACACTATTTTAAAAGACCTAAGGCAATGAATTCCATTTCCAATGGAAATAAAGAACTGTGCAAACACACTTAAAACTAGTTTTTGTGCCAGTGTTATAAAATGTAGCTTTTAATAAAACCTTGACCCAAAATGCCAGTAACTTCAGAAAAGAATCCGTGGAAGGGAGAAGATTATTTCATTTAGGAAAAGTAACCTCTATCTTTTTCCTAATCTTCAACACACACAATTTAAACATAAACAACTGGTGTAACACTTTACACAATTCCTATCTACTGGAGCAATAATAACAAGCTCTAAATACAATTACCCTTTTCAACACTGGGTCAAGGCTTTACATAAAAATACCATCCTACTTTCCCCCCAAGTTTCCAAAATATTACATACTTTCCTCAACATCTGCAGCCATCCAGGGAGTTTTAGGAAACTTTTGTGCATGATCTTAATTCCTAATCCCTGGCTCTTTGAGCTCAGTGACAAAAGATCAAAACCACCAAGAATGATGGTTCACTTGAAGTCAGACAGGAGACCCTGGCTCAATTAGTCTCATAGGACGAAAGCAGTGCTGCGTCAACTGGCTCCATGCAGGAGGGCCACGTGAAGGATCTCTTCAACCGGTCATCTACACAGGCCAGGTGACAGATGCGCACGCACGGCAGAAATCGAATCGGGTCCCCGGAAACGAAGTCCATCATACAGATCACACACTCCTGGATCTTTTTTTCTGATCCGTCTCTTCCAGGGTCATAAACTCCTTTAGGCAGATGCTGTGTGAGGCCTGTTCTTTGAGCTATCCTAATTTGTTCCTCTTCGGTCAGCTGAGCTGCTAGCCGAGTCTGGCTGGGTGTTGGATGCTACCCTGGAACCGGAACTTATTCCTGATATGGCGGCGGCGGCTCCTGATCCGGCTCCGCGCCCGCCCGCACCAAAATTAGCCGGGTCGGACCGAGCCCCCGGAACCAGGGAGGTGTCATCCGAGGTGGGAGATTCGAGGCAGTTCCCCATCTTCCGGGAGGCAGGGGGACACTGTGTGATGTGTGCACTGTTCTCTCTTTTAGATTTTTAACAGCCTATTTCAAAAGCAAAGTTTTACATTTCGAAGCCAAATTTATCAAATTTTTTTTCTTTTATGGCTCATGCTTTTTTGTCTTCACAAATCTAATCTGAGGTCACACAGATTTTCACCCATATTTAACCTAAAAATAAATGGCTTTTTACTTACTATTCAGATTACTCTCCTTCATTCTTATTAATTCGGTGACTACAAAGACTTCACATATACTATGTCTGAAGGAAATGTTTGTTGAATTTGTGAATTAACACGCAGTACACACCTCCTTCATTCTTCAGTATCTGCATGGCCTCCCATGTCCTCAGCAGCCTCCTTCTTGGACCTTCTGGGGTCCAAGATTCCTCCTGTGTTTTGCTCTCCCATGTTTTAGCAGAGGATATTAGATTAGAGTTTGTGCCATAGCAGTCACGCAGATAATTGTGACTGCTTACTTAATATTTCATAGAGCACAATGACATTTGTTAAGAATTATGCCAGGCTACACTCTAAACTCTTCCTATATCAACTAATTCAATCCCAAAATCCCTGAGAAAGGAAGAGAAGGCTCAGGGACCAGGCTTAATGTGACACAGCCAGTTGGGGCTGTTAGACAGATCCAGAGTGGCTAAATTTTAAGCCCTTTGCTCTTCCCACCATAACAAACCGCTAGAGACCACATCTGGAGTCTGGCACATCTCGAAAAGAATGTTCTCTTTCTCACACTAGGTGTTTCTCCAGTTTGCTCAGACTCCAAATTCAAAGGTGCTGCAGTGGGGTCTTAGGATAGAATTTCTCAAAGGATGGCTTTGGACCCCTGGATATATATCCACCCTGTCCTGCCCTGAGCCCATGGCTATCAGTACAATCACCGAATTGGGCTGTGTAATTTGTGTACAGCATGAGAATACACAGCTGAGGAGGTAAGTAGTAGCTAAAATCCAACCTGTTTTGGTGCTGTGACCTTATAGAGCTATGTGTTCTCATGGAAAAACAGGTGACCTTTAAAAAATTTCTACCAATGCACTGTGTGGCCTATTGGTGTCCTTTCAGGTGAAGATGAGTAAACCCCCAAGCTCTCGAAGGGATACATGTGATATAAATCAGCTGTTAATCATCACCTTCCATCCTCCTGGCCATAGTAGTTGGTTGAGTGATGAACATGTAACTCATGTCAGGCTGTTCTTGGCCAATCATCTTCATTTAGAGGCTCTTTGAGGGGTGTGGACTTCTTTCTGGGTAGAGGTGAGGGCTGTAGCTACTGTGGCCACCTTGCAAGTGAGGAAACAGATAATGAAACCAGTTCCCAGCAAAATGGCTCAAAACTGAAGAGAGAAAATCCTACCTTGTTGACTTTGTTGAGCCATTTGGTTAAGTTATACCTGAAGCTCAAATCTACTTATAGATTGTGGAGTATCATAAACCAATAAACCGTCTTCTTTTGTTGTTTGAAATTATCTGGTTGTTAGCTGTAACAACAATACAACCTACATACTGCATACACATCTGACACAGTCCTATTCCTTGAGCCCCTTGTTGGCCTTATATTTTCACTATTGTACTTGTCATCTTCTTATACTGCATTCTAACTTAGTTTATTGTTTGTCTGCCTCCATTCCCATGTCCTGCTGAAATGCACTACATGGTCTATGATGGCAAAGAATTTTATCTGTTTTGTTCACTGATGAATTCCCAGTTCACTGATGGGTTCCTTATAGTGAGTTCTTGGCCCACGGTCTTTACTCAATAAAGATTTGTCAAACGATACAACTACTTGGTGAATCATAAAGAATTATTAGTTCTAGAGTTACCTGTGGATGTCACTAGGTTTCTTTCTTTTCTTTTTCTGTGGTGCAGATTGAACCCAGGGCTTCAAACATATTAGTCAAACACTCTCCCAGTGAGCTGGACCCCTACCTAACCTAGCTTTCTATTTTTGTTGTTGTTGTGTTGTTGTTTTGGTACCGGGGATCGAACTTGGAACCTTGAGCTTGGAGGCAGGCGCTGGAACCACTGAGCTAAATCCCTGGCCCTAGCCTAGCTTTCTAATTAGGTCAGTAACTACTTGTCCAGGCTTGGGAATGTCACCAAGTTCCATCTGCATGTAAACATACAGATTATTGGCCTTTTCAATTTCAGGAAGTGTTTTGTTATTACAGCATCAATATTGTGTTAAGGTGGTAATGGATGTTTTTGGTATATCTATTTTCTATAGCTATTTGTATTTTCATTTTGTTCATCTCTGCTTCACCATAATGAGGTATTTTTTTCCTTTTGGACATGTAAATGAATTTGGAAGGGAGGGTGGGCCATGGTGACTTTCATCTCTCATGTTTCTTAGTCACAAAAATTGAGAACTGCTATTTTGGGCGGCTGTTGTTGTTCACGTTTCCTTCACTTTTACTTCCTACAGGTACTACAGTAGAATCTGGCGCTTACTTAGCAGGATTCTCTGTGGCTCCCCTCAGGTTCCCTCAGTTTATCTATCATCCCTATGCAGGAATCTGATACATTCATTTCTTGTTCCAGCCCAGACTTGCCCAGAATCCTCTTAGGAGCTGGTGGTTGCTGTTCTGTGGAAACTGACTTGAGGCTTCAAAAGAATGACTCATTTTCACCAGCCTCATCACTCATTTTCATCTCATCTGAAATCTCATTATTAAGAGATTTATCTTTTGTGTTGACTAACTTTTCAGTGCTCGGGGAGATGTAATACATTATTTCTAAGGTTTTCCTCTTTCACAACTGAAAGAGTTGTTCTGCTCCTCCCTTCCTTTACTGAGCCCTTCCTTCAGCCAGCACTCAAGAGCTAGTCTTTCTTAGAGTGCTGAGATGTCAAGGGACTCTTCTCAGATTATGGAGGAAGACTCCGTGTGTTTACTGGTTGGCCACACAATGGAGGAAGCAAATGGCCATGCACTCAGCCTGACTGCATGGCACAGCCATCTGGCCTCTCCTCTTGAGTAGCTTTTCTCTCTATGAAATGTGAATGTGATCATGCCGGAGCCATGCTTTCTGTAACCATCAAGTCCTTATTGTTTCTCCTTTCTTTACCATGCATTTCATGACCTTGAAGGACACACATTTGTTTGAGGACATCATAACCCTCCCATTATTAAAGCAGCCACACAATAAGTTTGTTGTTGTTGTTGTGAGACAAGGTCTTACTGTCTAGTTCAGACTGCCCTTGAACTCACTGTGTAGTCTAGGCTGGCTTTGAACTCTCAGTGATCCTTCTGTCTCAGCCTCCCAAGTGCTAAGATTACAGGCATGAGCCACCATGTGTGGATTAGCCAGCCACACAATAAGGAATCTCAAATCTCAGAGAACGAGCAAGGTTTTTGGTGGCAGGGAGAAATGATTCCCTGAGCCCCAAGTCAGACACTACACCAGCTGTGACTGCCATCCTCCCTCACAAGTGGAGAAATACTCATAATTATATAAGACCTCACTCACTCAACCCTTCTCTGAGGTTGGCAAGCATGTCACCTCCCTCTCTCCTCTGTTCAAAACAAGGCTACTGCTGGGAAGGCAGGAAGCTGAAACTGGGAAGAGAAAGATGAGTGTATTTCTGAGGCTTGTTTCACCTTTCTGCCTCTGGATTGGAACACAGCAACCTCCCAAGAATATAATTGTTTATTAAAAGAATTTTAGGATTATTTCAGCCTACTAAGGACTCTATTGGTGGATGTTCCCATGGCAAAAAGAGGAATTGACAAGTGCCTGATGGGGAGGATGTGAGCAATGGAGAGAGGGGATAAGATGCAGGAGTGGAAGGGGGTAGAAACTCATTCTGAGGTTTCTGTTTCCTGCTTTCAAACCTTTACTCCTATGGCCAATACACAGCTGTTTCATCAGGTAGGGACATGCACTTCTGGTTTACTTGAGACAGCTGAGATGGCAGGAGGAAATAATATGATAGAAGGAATTGTGGGGTAAAGACAACATTAGAAGCCACTAGGGTACCAATGCTAAGAGCTAATCTCCAAGCCTATCAAAGTCAGGAGAATAGAGGCCTTAGGATTCTCTTCTGCTGTGTTTACTTTCTGGTATAATGATTGGATTTTGCCAGCATGGCAAAGGAGCTGGTACCAGGAAAGGGGCTGGTACAAGGGTTGGCAGAATCTTGATTCTTGCTTTACGGTCAATATTTGCACAGGAAGTGCTGGCTCTTGTTGCAGTCATTTTTGTTCCAAGTTAAAAAGTCTGTAAGAAAATAAACAGATGTTTAAATCCATTCAGTTCAATACTGAACTTACCAGACTTACCTATGTATTTTGCTTGGCATCCTAGATAAGATAAGGTGATAGTTATGTTGTGTATCCATATGGCTAGTTATGATACCCAGTTCTTTGGTTTAGATGTCTAGCAGTTGCTGGTTGTCTAACAGTCTAGATCCTGTTGTAAAGGTATTTTAAAGATATGGTTAGTATATATATCAGCAGACTTTGAGTAGAGCAGATTGTTTTCTGTGATATGGGTGGGCCTCATCTAATGAGTTGGAGGCCTTAAGGGAAAAGTCTGTGGTCTTCTAAAGCAGAAAAGATTCTGATTCCAGTCTGCCTTTGGACTCAAGACTGCAACGTCAACTCTTCCAGGAATTTCCAGCCTGCTGGCCTGCCCTGTGGACTTCAGACTTGCCAGTCCACAGTTGCATGAGCCAATTTCTCAAAATCAATTCCCTCCCCTTTTACCTCATCCTATTATTTCTGTTTCTCTGGAGAAACCAGATAACACAAATTCTAACTTCACTAAGAGGAAGAAAAATCATTTGGATATCATGCCAAGTTGCAAAAGCTCCACTCCAGCATGCTTTGGAGGAAGACAGGGCTTGACATGAATCTACTGAAGATGAGGGGGTCTCTTGTGTTGGAAACAGGTTGCAGGGAGGGCCTGAGGATGATCTTTCCTAAAGTCCACAGCTGAGCTCTAACAAGTTCCTGCTCAAAGTGCAAAGACCTAAAATCAGCTGAAGTCAATCATGTCCCAACAGGCCACCTATTTATAAAGAAGGGCTGAGTCAGGAAAAGGAGGACTTTGGAAGGACTGGAGTATTTTTAAAGGAGAGGCCCAACTATTTCTCTCACTAAAACCAAGCTCCTCAGAGTTATTTGTCTTTCTGGGGTGTCTGCAGCAGAGTGAGGAGTCCTTCACCAATCAGGTGTTCGCTTGGACCCTGACCTACAGATCTGGCCCTGTGGCCAGTGTATGCTGAGTGAGTATGGAGAGATTCCGGAAAAAGGAGGTGAGATGCACCCTCTTCTAGTTCTCAGTAGGTGCAGAGGATGGGGCTATCCATGCTCTCATCCAAGGGTCCCAGAGATGGAGCCACACAGTGTAAATGAACTGGAGACTACAGGGTTGCTGGACACTTCACTGTGTGAAAGCCAAGAGAATGTACCCAATGTTGGCACTGTAGTCTGGATCCTTGGTGAGAGAGAGTCTTGTTGAGTCTGCTCTGGCTCATCACTCATTAGGGTGCTGCTTTGGCCTGAGTTTCTCTTGGGTGGGTTCTTCAAGGTTCCATCCTCATAGCAACCCAGGAGAAGTCCAGCTTGCCCCAGGCACCCTCACGGACCAGTATCTATGTTCACTCTCCTCCCCAAACCCCCTCTAGCACTGGTGGAAGCACTTCATGTGGATGAGGATCACTGGAACAGTTATTTCTGTCTTTTCATAGAGAGGCATCTAAGATACAGAGAAGTAAGACATCTACAGAGAGTCACACTGCTGAGTTAAGTGGAAAAGCTGGAAATTCTACCACAAACTAGATTGAGCATGAAATTTCTTCTTAAACTACCAAACCCTGGTTATTATTAAATGTCTCAAAGTGAGCCAGTGGTAAGTCAGGAAACATGGCAAATCCCAAAAGTTACATTGGAATGTAAAGCAGAGTCCCAGAGAATGGGAGAAGGACACACAGAATAAAATACTTTTTAATAAGAATTAAAAGGGAGGGGCCAGGGGTTTAGCTCAGTGGTTCTGGTGCCTGCCTCACAAGTGCAAGGACCGGAGTTCGATCCCTGGTACCAAAAAAAAAAAAAAAAAAAAGAATTAAAGGTGAACATGCCCAGTGGCAGAGAGAAGAGTACATGTGGGACTGTATATTTGGCAGAAATATTAGACCTTTTGAATTTTAGAGAAAAAAATTGAGCAGAAACTTTGTTAGAGCTCAGCTGTGGACTTTGGGAAAAATCATCCCCAGGTCCTCCCTGCAAGTCCGGAGAAGGAATCCATTCTACAAATACATAATAACACTGACGGGGCCGGGGCTGAGGTGCCATGAAATTCTACCCTCCTCCAGTTTGTCTCTAATCCTCACTTCCCTTCCTGGTGGTTTTCTGCCTTGAGACCCCACATTCTAATATCTGTGAGCTGGTGAGCAAAACTGGGAAAAGAGTTGGGCTCTCAAGCACCCATCAGGCATCTGGTTCCCATCAATACAACACAAGCGACTTCACCATAGCACTGTACTGATCTGACCACAGACTGAAGGGAAAAGATTCTTGTCTGAGAACTTTGTCCAGTGGAAACCCTGGAATCATTGGGATGGGAAGGACTTTGGGAAGCATCCAGGCTGCTTCTTCCTAAAAGCTAATCTGCTTTTTGCCAGGCTAGTCTCAGACTGTAGGTCTGAAGTGAATCCCTGGAATTTGTATTTTTAAAATGTTCCTCAGTTAGTCTTGTTGTGTCATTTAGTCTTTTAATATTTTCAATGCTTCAACCACAATAAAAACTACAATGTCAGCCTGGCATGGCGGTGCACACCTGTAATCCCAGCTCTCTGGAAGGCTGAGGCAGGAGGATCCAAAGTCCAAGCCCAAGTGGACAGTTTAGCAGCTCACAGAGACCATGCCTCAAAAATAAAAACAAAATTTTTATTTATTTTATTTTATTTCATTTATTTTTGGGTTTTGGAGATAGGGTGTTGCTAGGTAGTCAGGCTGGCCTTAAAAAAACATTTAAATGCCTGGGGATATAGCTCAGTACAAAGGTCCTAGGTTCATTTAATCCTCAGGACTGCAAAAAACAAAAACAAACAAAACTACAGCTACAAAGTCTACCTTTGCAGGGTTAGTCTAGTGATGGGTTTCTGACTGCTTTCTGGGGCAGCCCATTATGTGTTTGGTACTAACTGTTCACAATCTTTTCCTTAACCTAGGTAGACACACATTTTGCCAGTTTCTATCTATGGGTCCAGGCTGTGTTCCTTTCAGCCAAATTGACTCCTGACTTTCCCAACAGCAGTGCAGTCTCTGCTGGTCTGCGAAAATCCTTTCAGCTCTCTGTCTTGAAAGTCTTCTTCAGTGTGGCACCTCCTGTCCACCCATCTCCCTTTGCTGTTAGAAAGTTTCCCCTCTCCCCTTTTCTTCTTACAAGCTCCATTCCTCAGACAATAGAAAGCTGGAGTAGCTGGTCCCTTTCTACCCTGGACCCAGTTCCTGAGTCCTTGGCTTAGTGCCCGTGCTAGACACCTCTTGGCTAGCAGACAAATCCAGTGTCACCATGATGGCCTGTCACACTCACTGGATAGCCTCCAATGTACATCAAGTATCTCTTCATCTTAACAGTCTGTGTTCTTGTTTTACAAATAAAATCTTCTACTCACTTATTAACTGTGCTTCTCAATGGCTGGTAAATCTGGCATTGGCAATATCTGGAGATATTTTTAGTTGCTACATCCAGGGATGGGAGTGATACTGAAATCTACTGAGTAGAGATCAGGGATGCTGCTAAACTTCCCACAAGGTATAGGATAATTCTCCCACTAAAAAATAATTCATTTCATAATCCCAAAATCTATTCTCTTAATAAAGAGCAAAAAAAAAAAAAAATGAAAGCAAACAAGGGAAAGAAGGGGCCGGGTGACGGACTGCATGTAGACTGCGCGTGAGGCTCTGACCACTGCATTTTGGGGACAGGACTCAGAGAAACAAACAGGAGGGAAGAACCCAGGCCACACCTTGGGTTTCCTGGGCTCATGCGGAACTTTAATTTCAAAGTCCAGAGGATTCATCTGACTCACTACACATATTTACCCTTTCCGACCTGAGTGTTCCCAAATGGGACACATGTCCCTTCATAGTAGACAGCATGATTTTAACATAAATAGATTTAAGAAAAAGTGAGTGGATTTATAGAAGATATAGAGGAGTAATGGAACAGCTAGTACATTATTAGAGTAAAGATGCCTAAGTGGTCACAGACCACTGACGCTTGGGAAACGTTGTCTGTGAGAAGGTCATTGTCCTGTAGAAGGACAGAGTTGCTGGTACAAAAAGCAAAGTGGGGGAAGGAGGGCAAAGATGTCTAGTTTTCTCTTAATAGCTCAAAGGAAGGAGCTGAGATTTGGGGAGAGGGAAAGGGGTGCATGAGAACTTACTTTCCTTGTAGCTCATCTCCCCACAGGACTCGTTCTTGCCAGAGGACCTGCCACTCCAGGATCTGAACAGGTATTTGGCCCCATCCAGCCACTGCCACTGCTGCTTCTACAATGACAGGAGACGAGAGAACTGTGCAGGTCAGTTGGCTCACCTCCCACAGCCACGACACTCCCTCAGCTCCTCAAAGTGGACTTCTCATTGTAAAAATGGAGAAGAGGCAGCAATGTAATAAAGAACAAAAATCAGAAAGGACACTCCATGCAATGACTAAGCAGAAAAATCATGCACATTTTAGCTTATCTACTTCTGGTATAAATTTGCGGGGGGGAGTGGTACTGGGAAGTGAGCCCAGGGCAACAGCCACTAAGCTACTTTCCTGGCCCCACTCATTCTTTTGAGATACGGTCTTGCTAAGTTGCTAAATTGCTCAGGCTGGGCTCAAACTCACAATGTTCCTGCTCCAGCCTCCCAGAGTGATGGGATTACAGGCCTGCACTTCCACGCCTGGCTTAGTATGAACCTTTTACGAATAGGTACCTTTTAATGTACTAAAAAGTGTGTGATCACTAAAATGCTTACTCAATTTTGTACCTTGTTTTGTAAACCTTCTTTCAATGGTAAGATTTTATGATGATTTCAATCTATTGATTGTGAGGTATAAAGTTTCTAATTTACAATTATTATAAAAATACTACTATGAACAATTTTGTTCAAAAGTCTGTTTGGATACTTAAAATTATTTCCTTATGATAGAATTCCAGAAGTAGAACGAATGGATTAAAAGGTATGAGGTTACTAATGTGCATTGTCAAAGGACTTTCCAAAAGCAATTCAACTGTAGGATTTTATATCCTCACCAATTGCCACAAGACAATTTTTCCATTCCTTAAAAATATTACTCCTTAAGACAAAGTAACAGTTTCATAATCTGATAAGTTAAATTATATCATTGTTTTAATTTGCATTTCTTTGATCATAGAGGTACTGTACAATTTTTAGAATGCTTATATGCCACTTATTTTTCTTAGTCAAGAATATAAAAATTAAATGACAAAAATGTCTTATAGAAATAGATGTGAATATTTCTCCTATCTCTGAATGAGAGTTCTGATTAATTCTAATGTCAGTACACAAAAATGTAAAATATCTGATGGTTAAATAAATACTATTAAAAGCTAAGTAACTGTATAAAATATTTGTAACAATGATGGTGGAAGACTGCTAACTTTTCTATGATTTTCAAGAAGACAAAAAATATGAAGATATTTACAGGTAAACACTAAACGCTATGATTTATGACGGAGAGTATGTGAATCTGTGGTGTCTTCAGCTATGCTAACGAGGCACGGGAAGTCTGGGCGCCTCTCCTGTCTTCTCTGTGTTAAGTCTAGAAACCCCACAACGAATCTGGAAACTGCAGACCTCAGCAACCAGCCACTCCTAACAATGAGGTAGTGATGGAAAATACAGTGAGATCCCAGTGGGCAAAAAATTAAGGATAATGAAAAGAATAACAGCATTAAGAAAAAGGTTAGCTGACAGTTTTCAACTATAACTCAAGACCTAATAGAAATTTAATTAATCTCTTAACAGGGCCCTGCGCACACTCACGCACGCGCGCACACACACACACACACACACACACACACACAATTTATCTTTGGAAGACTGGAAAATTGGCAATTCTGTGTTCTAAGATTTAAGAGAAAATTAATCCAACAGAAGGTCTATGCAATTTAAATTATATTCTCCACTGAGGTAAGCCAGAAAGCCATTTCCCCAAAAGCAGTCTTTTCCAGGCCTTGCCAAAGGGCATTTTACAGGCCAAGTTGGGGTTACCTTCTCAGGGTCATGCAGGCCAATCCATATGTTCTGGTTTCTTTGATAGCCATTTATGTACTTTGATATGATGCTAGCTTCCTTTGAACTCAGGACAGAAGCCAGATGGGTTCCGTTTCCATGTGATTGACACTCAAGCTACAGAAAGGAGAGGTCCCATTAATGATGCCATGAGGCTTAACAGACAGCTCTCTCCTTGAAACCTAGTGTGCCAAAAAGAATGGGCTCACCCAGGTCCTCCTCTAGAAACTGGGATCTAAGGCCCTCAGGAGATGCCGGTCACCACAGGAGGAGCCAAGGGCCACAGTGAGCACATGGTGAGGGCAAGCGGTTTAGGGTCAGAGGAAGGGCCTGGAGTCCTGGCCTTACTGTAGGGGACCTTGACAACAAGTCACTTTCCCTCTCTGGGGCTGATTACAGAGTCTTGGAAACCCCGTTTGCTTAGCCTTCTCTCCCCCGACCTTGGGCCTCAGCTCAGGAAAGCAGCATGTGGGGCAGCCTTCCCTGGGTTTTCTCTACTAGGTGTTCTTGGTATAATCTTGGAAAAGTCATTTATGCTCATGCTGCATTGAGATTTTCTACTTGAATGTCACAATCTGCATTCTTCTCACACTTCTTGAATCTTCAGTAGCTGTCACATGCTAGGCACTCCACTGCTGCCTTTCTGTTTTCCCTTTGTCAAGTTATACACGGGTTCTGACACCATTCTGGCCCTGGGTCGTCACTCTCATGCGGCTCCCCTAATCAGTCACATCTGGTAACCACAGCTCAGAGACAGCAGCATGGACTGTCCACTTCCTTGGACTGGCTACTGTATGTCTTAGACAAAGCCTCAGTGAATAGGAGCCATATCATACATTTACTGGTCTGCGGAGCAATGAACCTCCCAATTGTTTGGCTGCTGCACTTTCTGTGAGGCAGCCCTGCGGCCTCTGCTCCACACCTGTCTGTACATTACTCTCTTTCTAGCAAATTTTGTGGAGGAATTCAGTTGCTCTTTTCGTAAGCTCCTATCTCCTCACCCTCCTTCGATCTATATATCTCCAGCATGTGTAGGACAGTGGCTACTGCTTATTCATCCTTATGTCCTCACAGTCATCTGGGCTTGGGCGTGTAGTATCTGCTTCATCAGTGCTTACAAGACTGAATGAGTTGGACACACAACCCTCCTCTCTGCTTTTCACCAGCTAGGCAGTTTCTCCTCAGAGTGCCAAGGAAGGACCCTTGATTCTGAACCAAATGAGTTCTGGGGCTCTGGTTGGCCTCTTACTGTACAGCAGCTAACCTCTCAAATTCCTTACCTCAGCATCAGACCAGCTCCTCAGCTTCCGGAAGTACCCATAGCAATTGGACTTGGAGTAAAACCATCCACTAGCACAGCTGGGTCTCATGATGATATCTAAGTATTAGCAAAAGACAATTTCAAGTGATAGTGGCAAAACAATCAATGTCCACACTATGAACAAGCTATAGATTCAGAACCTCTGAATGAAGGGGAGGAAGTGTCCCTTCAGAAAGAACTTTGCAGGGCCGGGGATTTATTAGCTCAATGGTTCCGGTGCCTGCCTCAAAAGTGCAAGGTCCTGAGTTCGATCCTTGGTACCAAAAAAAAAAAAAAAAGAAAGAAAGAACCTTTTCTGCATTGCTAAAAATTTATACTGTTAATCTTTCTCCCAACTTTCCACAAAGGGACCTAGGGCCTTTTACTAGAGTGGCTGTGTTTTGGGAGAAAAGCAAATAATCAGAGCTTTCTGGGCTACTGGATACTGGCTCTCAACTGACAGTGATTCCATGAGACCCATAATGTCACAGTGGTCCAACTGTCAGAGGAGGGATTATGGGGGTCACATGTTCACTGGAGTCTTAGCTCAGAAATGTCTTATAGTAGATGCGTTGACTCTTTCTGTGAACCATCTGTGGTTCTGGAATTCCAGTTCTGGAATGCATAACTGGAGGAGACTTGCTTAGTAGCTGGCAGAATCCCACATTAGTGGTGTTGGCCAAACAATCATAATTTGAGGCAACCCAAGAGTGAGCCAGAGGGATAAACTGGTAGTTTTAGGCATTAGTAGGAGCAAGCAGTCCTTTTGGCAGGGAGATGTGGAACAGGATTCAATGGAAACCTGGCTGGAATCTGAGCACAGGTGAGCTGTGTATCACTAGCAAGAAGGGACATTTTAGGAAAAAGACATGGGCTGGGCAGGGGAGGGGAGGCAGGAATGTGCAAGGAACGCACAGAAATGACAAGCACAAGTTTGCCACAAGTACAAGAGACCTGTCAGGCAACTGTGGTAGATAGGAGTAAGAAAGGCCTGGAAGCAGCAAAGCCATGATTCAAGGCTAGTTCTTCCTGCTAGTCAGCTGGTGAATGGGCCATGTTGCTGGATCTGAGACTGGGAAGGAGAGATGCTGGCAGTGCAGAGGGGCTGGGTGACGAAGGGGATGCCAAGCTAGCAGTCCAAGCTTCCTGACAGTGTGGCTACACTCGACACTTTAGATAGGTGCAAGGTTCTTTCCCTCCACAGTGGATGTCCACAGACAGGAGCCATCATAATAGCATTCTCCTCTCCCCTGTCAGAGAACACTACAGTCACTTGCTTCCCTCTTCTGTTCTATTTCATCCCCTGCCTCTAAATAGCCCACGACTCCCTACTGCTTTCAGATAAGCTCCCTGCTCATTAGCACCCAAGAACTTTCTCAATCTGATCTTTAAGCCCCAGCTAACCACATCCTCCTATGCAACAGTCCCAGCTCTGACTTAGAAAATGTTGCTCATTACAGATTTAGATCCTCTGCGTGTACTGTTTATTGTACCTCTCAATGATGGATAATCACGCAACTAAGAAGTTGAAGTAAAGGTTTTGAGGGCTACCTAAGATATACTGAAGTCACGCAGCAAAGATATGCACTTATTTAAATGCCTCACCTGCTACTTTTAGAAAAGTGAACATAATTTTATGTTAAACAAAAAATTTCTTTTATGCCATTGCTACTCCTACTGCTGCCAGTATACCAGCTTCCATACAGAAGATATTTTACTTAATGTCATTTACTATGCTAAGTAATTTATTCATGCCATATTTTTTTATCAATAACTTGGGAAAGTGAAGAAACAGGCTAAAGAGTCACTTGCTCAAAGCTGCTTTTTAGATCTATTTCTATGGCTTAAAAATTCATGTTGTTGCCAACAACACTCCCAACCTTAGATCATATACATATGTAGGGGTTATTTTAACAGGAGGAAAGAAAACAAAGGAGATCTTTAACTCTTACAGTAAAAACTGATCTTCTTAAGGGGATTGACCATTGATCACTATTCCAAAAAGAATAGATAATGAAATGGGCTCAAATTCCAGGAAGAGGCAGTCTGGAAAGACATTAAGAAGGAAGACTTCTAATTTAATACTCATGAGAATATTCTGAAAGCATGGGTAGTGAGGAGTCCAAACCTCCCCTAAGTCTAAGGACACAGAACCCTGGCAACCCACCTGGTGCTCCTACTGCAGATCAGTTTGAAGGCTGCTGTGGACCCCTGTACTCGGCAGTTTCTGGGCAAATGCACAGGACAGGTCCTGCACCTCCACAGCCTTCATTCCCCCTGTCTCCAGGTAGTGAGGACAGAGGTCCCAAGACCTCAAATCCAGAGGGGCCGAAGGTAAAGGAAACAACCAGTGATTTCTCTGTCCTCTCACACTTTCCTCTTTCTCTCCATGTCTGTTTCTTTGAGAGCTTCTCTTCCTCTCCGAAGATCTCTGTGTGTTCATCACCATGCCTTTCTGACTCTGGGTATCAATTTCTCTCTTGCTGTCTTTCTACTCTGTGTCTCTTTTGTTTGTCCTTGTCTCTTGCTGTGTCATTCTTGTGACTCTCTCTGGCTCTCTTTCTCTCCTTCTTCCAATTTCCTTCTTTCTTCACCTTTCCCGTTCCCTTGCTCCAGGTCTTACAGATAGGACTATGCACCCCCTAGTGGAGACACTTTAGCTCCTAGAAATGCAACTAGCAGCTGCTCTGCCAAGGCCCTGCTTCACTTTCTGTTACTCCACACATTGACTGTGTGCTGGGTACTGTTCCAGGAAGATTGCATATATTCAAATCGTTTCCATATAAACCCCTATGAAGTAGGTACCAATGTTTATCCCATGTTCCAGATGAGGAAACAGAGGCAAAAGAACATGTCATGCCCCACTGCAAAGAAGTAATGGAGACAAGATTTGACCCTAGACCAACTGATTCCAAGTAGGAGTTCTTAGTCATCTCCATCATCATGCTTGAGGTATTTCTTTAAAAACCCAGATGGACCACCCAGATTTATTAAACTTTCCTTGTTTAACTACCAGACTCTCCCTGAGAGTTAAGGATGGATATCCCCATCATGCAGGTAGAGAAACCTCCTGTGAAAGATGAGTGGCCAGCTGAAGTCATCAGATGAGGAATTGGATGGGGTCTGGGGGGAGGATCCAATGCTTCCTCCGAAGCCTGAGAACCCCAGCCCCACCTCTCAGGGTGCTAGAGGGCCCGTCACTATGCATGCAATATCAAAGGCTTTCAGCTCCTTGCATGTGGCCTCCCTTACTCTAATAGCTGTTCTTCTCCACAACTGGGCAGATGTGTAAGCTTGGGAACATTATCTAACCTTCTTTAGTTGAAGTTTTCTTGTTTGTACAATGGGATCAATAATATCCACCCTTTTAATAGGCTCTCTGGGAGGACTAACGGGGATCATGCATATATAGTGATTAATATAGAACCAAATATAGTAAATACTAGCCAGTTAAAGGGATAGCTATTAAATCATCATGATTACTACTATAACCAGTGCAATACTTTGAAAGTATTAGCCTGCTGAAGTTTTTTGATGTCCAGAAAGCATACTGCTCAAATCTCTTCACCCATTGAATTAACAGCGTGCATTGTTCCAGGAGAAGAACAGCCATAAGCCAAACAAGAAATCACTTCAGAGGCAATAAGAGTCATAATGTTGAGCACCAAGTCTTGTCAAGAAAGAAGATTAACTTCTAAAATCTTATACTTCAGAACTGTACTTCCAGTAGCTGAAAATAAGTAAGGGCTGAGGGCAGAGAGCTCCAGGGGCCAATTCCATACTTCTATTGACTTTTCCCTAAGCTGTAGCACAAAGAACATTTAGGTCATGTTATGTGGGAGATCTCCCAAAATATAAGAATAAACAGAATGTCTTCCTACAGCTGGGGGGAAGATCTGACAAAGGGCAATGCAAGACTTCATGCTGAGTGTGCCATCTCTTCCTGCTCCTCGGGAGAGAAGCCAGAGGTCTGTAAAATCTCAAGAGTGGGAGAGAGGCTTGTCATTCCCCATGGTATCAGTGGAGCAAATGCCCAGCCCCTGTAGGGAAGTCTGAGGTCCTCTCATCACCAGAGGAGCAGGAAACCACTTGGCCTCCTAGAAATGGCCACAGGAGGCCGTTCTGAAGGAGGGGTTTGGGATAGCCTCTCAGAGTCTTGCACTGCCTCGCATGACTTGGAAATGGTGGCAAGTTCCCAGGCCTGCACAACCACAAAAGGCTGAGAACCAGTGGCTGGAAGTAGGTGGGGCTGAGGACAGAAAGCCACAGAGGACAAGCACACACCAAGGGCATGCCATGGCAAGAGCCACAGTCTTCATCTCTGGGGGCCAACACGATGCCCAAAGAACCTACTTCTCCTTGAATTTCCTTCCTCTTGGCCAAGGACATTTCCCAGTGGGAGAAGTGCTGAGTTAAAAACAGCCCGGGATCCCTTAGGAGCCTCTGTGCTCAACAGAACAGATGCTCAAGCAAGGATCCCTGTCTCTTCCATGTACAACCCCCAGCAAGGCCACAGGGGACTGTGGAGGGCATCCAGGAGAAGGAGCCAGTCTGAGCACCACTTAGTTTTGCCCTGTGACTTTGGGCAAATCTCTGCCTTTGTCTGGACCTCATTTTCCTCACAAAGTAGGACACCAGATGAGCACATATTTCACTCCCTTTCATTTCGAATATTCCATGATACTTATTTTTCAGGGTACTCAATTTTCTTCCTCTGCTGTCTTCATCAGCAGATTCTACATGGTTTCCACTTTGCGAGGATGCTGCTTTATACTTGATGCTTCGTCTGTTTGTCAGAGCCATTTCTCCAGGTAGGCTGTATGTAGGTCCCTGGAAAAACTGCAGTTCGTGGTATCCCCAAATAGGAAAATAGTGCCTAAAATTGGGATGTTCTGATTATAGCTATCATTTATTGACAGTTAGCTAGGTGTTAGGTGGCTTAAACTGTACCTCTATCCTTTGCAATAACTTGCAAAACTAATTTTACAACTTACATGTCATTGATTATGTAAGCGTGGCTTCCAATTCTGTGCAGTTGGCTTTTGCTTGATTCTACAGCCTTTGAACTCTTTACTGCATCATGTTGTTTTTCATTCCCATACCCAGTGCCTGTTTCCTGCAGTGCATAGTGGATTTTTGTTGGTGTGGTTGTTTGGTTGGTTTTTATTTTGTTTTGTTTTGGGTTTTTGGCAAGTGGATGGCTGAGTGACATGGACTTTGTGGTCACCGACCATGGTCTCCATCCCCACTAAGTGACATACTTACCACCCAGGACTTCGGAGCTGGCTGCCCAGCTCAGCAGGAAGAGTAGCCGAAAGCCTTTGGATGCCATTTTCCTCTTCTCCTGAAGACAATGCAGCAGGCACTTCCACTCCAAGGAGCTGAGTCCTTGTTAACTTTGTCTTTGAAACTCCCGATTTCTCCTGGATCTGCAATCTGAACATATCTATATTAGTAAGAAAGACCCAGGAATTTAGACAAGAAATTACATAGGGAGAAAAGGCATATTTTTTAAACTACATCCAGATCTTACAATGAAGAGAATATCAAGTTAAATGTAAATATTAGCAAAATTTAATTTATGAAATTTTATTCTCACCCACAAAGCCTTCTGGACCAGCACCAGAAACCTTACTACAGTAGGCTCAACACTTTAATAGTCTGAATGGAGGCATACATTTTAAAACTATGAGACAGTGCACCTCTATTATTTTCAGGAGAGCCAGTAAAGGCCTCCACAGTTAGCTCCCTCCCACGTGATGTTGTGATGGGCTTTCTAAAGTTAAGAAAGTCAAATCAAAAGGTTTTAACATTAAATTTTTTAGTGTTATTCAGAGTGAATACATCCCCCAAGTGCCACATTTCACAGGTTAGAAAATTTGAAGTAGATAGTATGAAGTCATTTTTTCATTGTCACCAGCACTTTTAAACTTTTTTTAGAAAATAACTTTGTAACATCTGAGAACAAAGGGTCCCTGGGTCCTCCATCTTTCTCAAGCCCCCTACTCTGATTTAGCAGTGTAGCTAGGGCTGGAGATTTAGCTCAGTGGTTTTGCTGACTGCTGTGCAAGCGCAAGGACCTGAGTTCAAACCCCAGTACCAAAAAAAACCAAAAACAAAAACCAAAAAACAGTGTAGCTAGCTAGCTCTCCTTTTTCTCCCTTTCCAATAAAGTTTCCAGCAAAATGTCTTCCTTCTTAAAAAAAAAAAGCTTTGTATCTTTTCCTCACTGTAAAAAATGAATCATCAAAAGACCAACTCAAAATTAGAAAATAAGAAGTAAATCTCATCTCCCACAGATAATGTGATGAACCGCCTGCAGACATTTCTCTGCATACGTCTCAGTGTACAATACTGTATAAATTAGATCATTTGTTTTGTAAATTAATTTTGTTTCTCAGAAACAGACTATAGTGAACTTTCTTGCATTCACATTTCTTAATGCCAATTTAATTGTCTTTAGTATAAATTCACTTACGCGAAGTTGCAGAGAGGCAGAAATTGCATGTTGTAATCTTGAAGCCCTTTGCTAAAATACCTTCTGAACGAGTTTATCATACATTCTAACAGTGCTCAGGAGTGTTGGTTTCTCCAAGGCCCAGTGAGCACCTAATTTTGTCTTTTATTTTTAACTGCGATATTTTAAAGAAAAACATTAGTGTTTTGTTAGTATTTTAGAATTACTAATGAAGTTGAACATATTGACGAGTTTTTTATTTCTCTTGTCAATTTCCACTTTGCAGCTTTGCATATTTTTCTATTCTCTTATTTTTCAATGATTTATGAGACCTTTTGTAATTTATGTCTTGTACATGTTATTAATAGTATTTCTCAGTTTGTATTTCTGTCTTGTTCATAATATACTTTTTAACATCCTGAAATTTTCAAAAATTATATCGTTATATGTATGGTCTCCCTTATAACTTTTGGCATTTATTTCAGAAAGACTGACCCTGTTGCGTCAGGGTGAAATATTCACCTATATTCCCTTCTATTTTTATCTATCTGAGATTTATTTTAGTGTAAGCATTGAATTAGGTTCTAAATTTTCTTGCCAAATAATTATTTAAATGAGTAATTCATTGACTTCTTATTTGACCATACTTTATGATTGAAAACTCAGGATTACATGGTCTAACTCTCAAATAATAAGAGTTTAGGGGAAATGGTGCAATTTAATATTCAAAATGGAAATTTTCCTGGACCATCTACTCTGGGGTCTATCTGAACACTTTTCAGTATTAACAAAGGAGGGGGCAGAGGGCAAAGTTGCAAAATTGTGATGTCTCCACCCCCTGTCCTTTTTTACTTTTTATCATTGCATGAAAGCTGTCCTCCTTTGCTGAACTTTCCTCCCAAAATTAGTGAGGTATTTGTAATTTCTTGAAACCCTTTCAAATGTAAATAAGTATAAATTATCTGTCATGTATGGGGGAAAGGAGATATAACATCTTTTTTATTAATCAAAATTTATTTTAAACATTCAATGGATGCCTACTTCATCTTGTTTAAACCTCATATACTAGGCTGCCTTATAGGTATCGTTTACACATCTCACAGTTGATGTTTCTTGAGATTAAATCATCTTTCCAGAGTTTCACAGCTACCAGACTGCAGATCCATGATTTAACCCAAAAGCAAAGCTCTTTACCATAAGGGAAGAAAGAACATAAGCAATTCAAATCAAACAACATAGGAAATAAAAGCATCAGTAACATCTTTCAAACTGTAACTTGTAATTTCTGGCTCAGGTATTAACTGTCAGAGGAGAATAGATGTTCACAGAAAACTCTGCTCCCAAGTGCAGAGGGATTACCTGGTTGGAACCAAGGCTCTGAGGACCCCTCCTTCGTTGGCGTCTCAAGTGGTCCCAGGCAGTCTCTGGAATTCTTATAGCTTTGTGCTTCAGGATTCAATAACCAGTGTTTAAACCATGGAGCAATAATGTTAATTACCAATGATAAGTCTTATCTACAAAAAAAAAAAAAAAGAACCCTGTGAGGGATGACTTAGGAATGGATGCAAGTTGTGCTTTGAATCCAGGAAAAGAACCTCTCCCTGTGTGCAAATAGAATCTTTCTTTTATATCCCAGTTTATTGAGACAAACAGTATGCTGTAATCTTCTATCAGCTAATCTTCCTTTCCCTCAGCTTCATTGTTTTTTTTTTTTTTTTGGTCTCTTTTTTTTATATTTTTATGTTGTAGATTGCCTTTACTTCTTACTGTCTGGAAAGATACTTCAATTCTGAAGAATAGTGTTCTCACCCTTGCAGATAGGACTTGCTGTCAGGGCTGGGCACAGGCTCTGACCCACGTGGTCTGACTTGAAGTCCATATACAGACTTTCCTCCCTGAAGCACCAAGCTTGTCTCCCCCAGGTGCCTTGGGCACCACAGATTTCCTTCTACTTAAATCATATTGCTGATTTGTGACTTTTAGGGTTCTTGCTTTCTAAATTTCATGTCTGATGCATCTACATGCAGAAAAATTTTAAACCAATTCCACTCAGGATTCAACAGACTTTTTGACTGAGATATTTCTCTTGTTCCTTATATTATTTTGTCTCCAACTTTTATATGGGTTCTGTCAGCGCCCTCACTTGTAGTGAATCAATGGGAGGTTTCTGTGAAGCTCTAGAACATCTGATTCTCTCACATGTTCCCTCTGTTCTTTCTCACCTCAGGTCTCAAAATCTTTATATAGCAGCATGGAGATTCCAGAATGAGGACCAGCGTGGAGGATGGGTATAGAAAGGATACCTAATCACATATTTTATAAAAACTTTTTTTTGTCTTACACCTGGAACAGGGTGTTTGAACTTAAAAGGCCTGGAGTTATTATGTTTGTTCTCCATTGTGCTGTGAAATAGTGCCAATTCCTATCCGGCTGCCTAAAGGGAAAGAAGCTTGTGTTAAACACAGTGCATAAAATAAAATCCATCCCATAATACCATCTTTTCATATACAGGGCTCGAAGAGGCTCATAGCACAGCCAGTGCTCCACAGTTAGTGGGGAACAGGATTAGAACCTGAACCAAGCTCCCCAGGAAGCCAGATCTGTGCTTTTCCCCCAAAGGACCATCATAGTGGATGAGGAAATATCTTTTGTAAACTTGCAAGCCCTGCTTTCTCAGGCCCTATCATGAACTTATATACAGGTTGGGAAAATCCAGTGGCAAAGGCTGAGTAGCATTTAAAACAAAGATGAACAAATAACAACAAATGCTTGGAATAGGGAAACGTGACTTCTGTGGTTAGTTTCACCAACAAGTAACTGTAAATTAAACTATATCATGACAGTTCTCTGGGCCACAGTTCTTCACCAGGAGAGCCTCAGAGTAAGACTGGATAATTTCCATGGTCTCTTCCAGACTTAATGGTCTTCTACTGAGTTAAGACTACACTTTGAGGTGAATGATCTCTGTCACCTACAACATAGTGTAATCATTTGCATCTACACTAGGAGAGGGAATCTCATTGTCTTTTCCAAATAGATTATTTTCTAATAAGACTGTCATTCAGCAAACAGAGCTAGATTTGGCATCAGAAGGCCCAGGTTCTAGCACTGATAACTGATGTAGGTTTCCTAATCTCTCTTGATATCAGGTTTTGTGAGTGGGCACTGGAAATGCCTGTTCTACATGCTTATAGGGATTTTGTTGGTATTTCATTTGATGATCCAGAAGAAAACACTTTATTGTAAAATACTCCATCAATGTAAGCTATAGGGGACCCTTGACTTATAAACTCAATTCATTTATGGGGGCTGGTTGTAGCTCAAGTTGGTCAATTGCCTTCAAAGTCTCTCTCCTGTATAATTTCAGGCCACACTTTCTTCCAGGCAGATCTTAGTGTCCTTAGGGAGACACTGGCCCAGGATTTCTCAACCCCACACAGGAAAGGATGTTGTAATATTTCTTTCAGAAGTCTTTAAGGGTTAAATCTGTATCTGAGACCATCTGGAAGCACAAGTGGCCAGCATTTGGGTCATAACTCAAGTCTTTGATCGTAAGTTAAAACTAAAGTTCCAGTTGTAACTCAAGTTGTTCAAATGTCAGGCCAGTTGTAACTCAAGGGTAAATTGTATTTTGACATCATTTCCCTGTCTAATAGCAAGATTTCAGAGTTTTATTCACAAGAGAAACTAAAATAGTTGTGGACATAATAATATAAAGAACAAGAGCAATATCTCAGTTAAAAAGTCTGCTGAACCCTGAATGGGGTTGATTTAAAATTTTTCTGCATGTAGATGCATCATATATGAAATGCAGAAAATAAGAACCCTAAAAGTCACAAATCAGCAATATTATTTGCTAAGTATCAAGGATCAGAATGGCACTATAATAGAGAAATAAAATGGAAGTCAGGCAATTTTAGCAACTATGGTTAGAGTGAAGGAAATAGCTTTCAGTTTGGAATTCTGTACTTTGCCAACCCATCATCAAGACTCAGTATAAAATAAAGATATTAAAATTATAAGAACTTTAAAAGGTTGTTATCTATGGTCTTGTTGAAATTATTGCTCATGTAAGTCTTTTGCAGAAGAATGTGGTACAATACAGAAACACATGTTGCCTATAATGAATAATTATGATAATGTTCAGAATAAGATTGATAGTAATTTTATTTTATTTTTAGTACAAACAGGAACTAAAATACCAAACAATAATAAGTGAGGTAAGAGAGAGAGTTTGGAATGAAAATTAAAATATTCTAAGATCAGATGTTGATTAAATGTAGACTTTATTAGAAAATGTCAATTTGAGTGTATGTATTATCAGAGTACTTGATAATACAAATTTGATATTGCTGCACTATGATAAAAAATTACACTGAAGCCCCACCTTCATCCAGACCTCTAGCATGGCAAGAAAACCCTCCAACTCAATGTCTCAGACTCTCCTGGGACTTCTGCCTCCTGTATTGACCTAGGGTCACTAAAGTTTGTGCTCCATCACCGCACGGTGGAATTTCTCCCTGTAAGCTCAAGCCTCCTGCCTTTCTCTCATCATTCCTTTGCTTGCAATGCCCTTCTTCTCCTTCCTTGCTTGTTCACATGTATTCATCTTCTAAGTAATTAATTCAATAAAT